AGACCTTTACCAGTACTCATTTGATTGCTCGTTTTGTAAAGTCATCCATAATTTACAAGTATTGCAATTTGCCTTTTGAAGAAAATTTTTTTGTTATGAACTTAAGAGTTTACCTTACTGGTGCATCTTAATGTTTTTGTATCGATCCATCCTCAACAACAACATCTTGAACATCAAATTAAGTAAAGAATCTGCCTCTAGAATATTAAGCTACATCACACAGCTAGCAATAAGCCTTCAAATGTTAATTTAATGCTCTAAACTAACCAAAATTTCATTTCTAGCAGAAGACAACTGATATAAATAGTAACTCAGGAATTACATTGAAGCAGAAAAAAGTACGTCGCACAATCAGATAATATCACCAGAGCACCTAAACCCGGTAAACTCCCCTTAATTTACCTTAAAAATGAAACGCCTTCACAATTTACCATATAATAGTAATCTTATTAGTGTATTTATTTTGAATTAGAAAAAAAGGCTAGCCAATAAAATGTTCATTTACTTTTTGAAAATGTGGCAACCATCCAACAGCAATGGAAATAAATTCCTTCTCAATATTCCATAATGAAACTCACATAGGCAATACAAGTAAACGATTCCTTACCTTTTATGATAAGCAATAAAAAGTCCTAAGTTCCACTTCATTATTAGTAAAACTAAAACATCCCCAAATTCATCTACCTATACATAAAGCCGATACGTACTTAATACATTTTTCCGAAGCGAGACCACAGATAAGCAGTTACACTACTTTCGAAAGATATATAATCTTTACTTACCACGAGAAAAATAGCAATGAAGGCAAAGAAGACTGTTAGGATCGGAGTGAAATCTGGGCCAGCGGGTCGCGGTGGCAGCGGCGGTTGCGGAGCGGCAGCTCCCTGCTGTTGCTGAGCATCCATGGCGGCGCGGTTACAATTTCTTAGCTACTCAGTCGTCTCCTCCCGTCAGTCCTTTTTCCTTCTCCTGCAATTGTAACGAACTAGCACGGTACTAATGTAATTTCTTCATCCTCATCACTTCTTCTGGTCCTACTTATAGCCATTGCAGTTAACCTAAAGTTGGAGGAAGGAATAACAATAACAAGAGCAAAGAAAAACATTAGAAATTTTTGCATAGAAAAACCCGAGTTTCTGCCAAGAACATTTGATTCCGGGAGCGTGGCACGGACGGTCCAACGGTCCGTTGACATCGTAACATTTTTTTTTAACACTTTGTAACTCTACGTAAACATTTTATATATCCTTACAATACAAATATGATATTTTATTACTATTCATATGAGTGTTATATGTAATAATTGTGTTTCTATTGTTAAGTTTTACAAATAATTCACATAAAATTACATGTTATTCAAAAAATGTTACATCGTTCAAAGCGGTTGTTATTGGCAACTATTGGTGCCCTTGATCATTTGATCTCGTTGTGACATCATTCAATGACGTGTAAAAGTCGCGCACAATCGATGACGTGTATAGAGGTGGTTTAAAAAGTTATTTTTGTACTATGATTTATTGCTTTTTTTTTCTTGGCATGTATATAAGATATATGAAATAAAAAATATCAGTAAAAAGATAAATCTGATAGTCTTATTAATGACACTTTCTTTTTTGTGGATAGATTGTGAAAAAAGTTACATAAAAATGAACAACAAAAAACAAACCGTCAAAGTCCACAAATGTTGTAGTTAGATGGAAGTCCTTTGAATGGACCTAGTAATAATTGCACCAAGCAATTTCTCAAATTTTGTTGTTTAATTCACTAAAATAAGCAACACCTATTAAACAACGACTGAATTTAAAATAGGATAGAAACAGACACGATTAACTATATCGAACAGATGAACAAAATCAACTTCTTGAATGGACTATTGAATTTGGGATTAGGTTTGCCTCAAGAGTTGCCGGCTCTTTAGAGTTAAATTTGGGATTAGGTTTAACTAACTAATTTCACAAGTCTGGAAAAAAAAATGGACTATTGAAAATTAAAAATTCCTTGCAACTTCCTATCTGTTAGAAAAATGCAACCCATTTCACACTTCTATAACTTTCTAATATGGTTCCCACTTTGACTAGTTTAAAGCATTACAAAGCTAATCAAGAGACAAGGACCATGACTATACGTGGAAATCCATTGGTGGTTATTGGACTTTCTGTGTACTAGTTTCCAACAAATTCCTTTGCCATTGCGAGGGGATTTTTAAAGAGCTACCCCAAATGCTTCAAAGACCTTTCCCTTAATTGCTGATAATCTAGAAATCATTTTATATTCCCAAATTGACCCTGTCTCCACATTTTCATTTTCGTAATCAACTACAACTATGATACTCCTCGAGCAAGTAATGTTTGGCAAAACTACTTTGGCAATCTTACCACAAAACAATGCTCATCTAGATTGCGCATTTTGGGAGTTTTTATAATAAAATAATATTATAGCACTCTTTTCTAGATGTAATCTGTACAAGAAAAAAAATGGTTGAAAAACATATTCAATAAATATTTTCTAAAATTTTAAAAAGCTGCAATGCAAACGATGCCAATAGAATGATATTGTAAATTTATATTTAAAACATATTTAAATTGTATTAGTATAAGCCTTCTCATCTAACCAGATTGATTATTTGCTTGCTTTTTCCTTTTTGCATAAGATTGAGTAAACATTTTTTTGGCAATATTAAGCTTCATAACCCGTTGTATGCTTCTTCTTATTCCCCTTTTTTTCCCTCTTTTCCAACTTCTAAATGGAATCCTTATATTATATAAAAATGAGTTGTGGTTAAAGAGGAATTTTGAATTTCAACCGCATGGACAGGGAAATTTTTGAAATGTTAAATGATGTGGAGTTTATTTTTAGTTTTGCGCACAAGTGATGATAGCATGTGTTTTGATATGTTTACAGAAATCTCTTCATATTTGTACATTTAAAGTGTTTATTTATGGAGATATTTGGGTATTTTTGAATGTGAGATTATTTTATAATAATTTTTGCATCGAGTGCAAGTCATACAAGCTTATTTATTGGTGTAATTACTTAAATGGTGTTACAGACACATTTACTTGAAAAGTGGTATTTATTGTGCAATTGAAATGAAGACACATTTCTATAATCTTACTTTCAAGAATGGAGGGTTTGGAGATGAGAGTTGTTTAAGTCTAGAGGGACGATTTTAGGCTAAACAAAGCATTTTTGTAATTTTACCATTTGAGGATATTGAATTACTTGAAATATATTCAATTGTCTTTGCCATTTACATCTCAAGTAAACTAAAGAAAATATGGGTGTGTTAATGAATTAATGTCTCAGCATCGGTTATGGTTGTCCGAATGTCTTCTTCTTCACATTCTTCAGTTTTTTTCCTTTCAACTTTCAAGATTGGGCTATTTTTGCTGCATTTATACTATACATTCCAAAATGATTTTCGGGCAAAGCTATTTTTTGTGGTTCATTTTGAGATGAGTTTTGTTCCTTAATTTTATTGTTTATGTGAGTGGGTTTGGTAGTGTATAGTGTCGGGTGATTGCTTTCATCGCAAATTTTGAAAATCTAGTTGCGTAATTTAACTGTAATAGTGTGATTCTCTCACAAATTTAATTGGTTTGTGTAATTTGAATGGTGTGATTATAATGTAATAGGTTTGGAGCAATTGCAGGAAAAAGTTTTTCGAGGGTATCCGGAATAAGGTAAATAAAAAAAGCAACTTAATTAGTTCAATTATGATGTGTTTTTTGTTGCATATATTAAGTGATTCATATATGGAATTCATTTTGACAGTGAAAGCATTGTGAATTGGTAGGTTACATGGTATATTGCAGATTTGAGTTTGAATTGTTTAATCACTAATAAATTAATAGAATAAATACCTTCTAAACCATTTATATTGGTAGTGTTTCACTTATACCTTCTAATTAAGTGGAGGTAATATAAATGGTTCGATTTCCTTAGGAAGTGATGAATTTGTAAAAACTCCTTCAAGCAAACAACTTCAATGTGTGCTTTCTTATATTATAGAATAATGAATACTTTGTTATACAGATAAACGAAACTAAAATTGCTGCAAAAAAAAAAAAACAAAAAAGATGAACAAAAACAAAACCAAAAGAATGCGAAACAAAACCTCACACTAAAAGAATGAGTGTGGCTTTGAATTTTAACTCCAAGAATAGACATATAGTTAATGAAATTATTTCTAATCCATGAAATGTAAATTGAATAACAATTTGAAAAAAGGGAAACTTAAATGATTTTTTTACAGATACTATAATTCTTATTGACCAATAGGTTGATTAACATTTTAATCCCAAGAACAGACATATAGTTAATGAAATTACATGTAATTTGTGAAATGCAAATTGAATACTGATCTAAAGAAAGGGAGACTTAAATGGCCTTTACAGACAATCTATTATTGAAACATATACTATGAAATATTATCATTTAGTATGATATTCCACTGTTGTCTTCATTCATTTACTCTCTTACCAGTTTAAATCTATTCGAAACTTTACAAAATAACAAACCATCAACAAACAATTATCTTAAAATTCTCTTTTATCATGGGCACCAAACACTTGTATGATGCGCAGACACTCTTCCCTAGTATTAAATAAATAGAACACATTCTTCAACTTCACGCGTAGCCCATTGGGCCAAGAGCCAATTTCCCTTCGTCGTCTATGGCAAAAGGGAAAATCGCCAATTTAGTTCTCAAACTATTTTACTAAAGCCGATTTGATCCTTAAAAGTTTTATCGCACCAATTAAGTCCCTTAACTAAAATGCTTGTGCCGATTGAGAATTTATACGGCGTCGTCACCCAAAACTCATGTATCTATACAGAAAACAACGGCCAGGCAGGGGTCTTTTTGGAAGTTCGCATCCTAATTTCTATGAGAAGCAAGACAGAGCCCATTTTGCATCCGAATTGGGGGAAACCTGTGAAATTAGGGATTTTCCAAGACAGAATACAGCTGCTAGCATCAGTGGTAATAAATAGTTCATCTACGTTCTACCATTTTGATGCATTTTTCCAGTGAAGATATCCAATCCAATTTGAAGCTTCCCTACTTTAGTTAGACCTATCAGCAGAGAAGTAGATGTGGAAGCAGGAGGAGTAAGACCAAATTTTGTCATTATGTTATACACTTCAAAAGCTTTCTCATGCAGTCCTGCTCTGCTGTAAGCACAAATGAGCGAATTGATGGCAATTATGCTAACAGGTATGCCCTTCTCAAGCATAGTCTTCAGTAAGTGCAAAGCCTCGTCTAACCTTCCTGCCCAACACAATCCTGAAATGGACATTTCTGATATTGAACAATTAGGAATCAAAGCCATCATAGATAATTCCCTTAAGAACCTGTTGCCATCATCTTCCCTTCCATATTTGTAGTTTCCTGCAGCCAAAATGTTAAAAGTTATACCATCTGGAGCAACTCTCATATTCCGCATTTCCTCATAGAGCATATTAGCCTCACCAATTTCTCTTGCCTTTACGTAGCCATCCATCAAAGCATTGTATGTCACAGTGCCTGGTGAAACACCCATTTCTTGCATTTCTTCAAATATTTTCCTTGCTTCTACAATGTTGCCCTTCTTGCAGAGTGCATTAATAAATGTAACAAATGTCGCAGTGCTTGGTTCACAACCGTATTCCGCCATAAAATGCGCCCAATTCAGAGCATGAGATGTCCAGCCTCTCACACAATATGCACTTATTAGCAAATTATGTGCAATAACATCAGGTTCACAACCATACTTCCTCGTCAAAAACAACAAGCTTTCTCCTGTTCTAACACACCATTTTCTACAAAAGCCAAGAATCATCACATTATACACAAAAATATTCGGGCAAGGTCCCCTTTGGATCATATCTCTAAATAACTTCCATACACTACCATAATCACCAACTCTAATTAGCAGCGCAAAGAAAATGCTAACAGCTGATAAACTTGGTCTAATTCTGACCTCCCTCATTCTATCCTAGATTTTCAATGCTTGGGAACCCATATCTACATTCACAAACGCCCCTCATCAAAGAATCAAGAACCGAGAAATCTGACTCATAGTTGCTATGCTCTCTCCACATAAACTCTACCAACTCATTACTTCTACATTCACCAATTCTACTAATTACACAAGAGAGAACATCCTGTGCCATCAACCTCAATCCCTCAGCAGCCAAGACATGTGCGACAATACAACACAACTGGACCATGAATTCCGAAGCATCACAGAAGACCAACTTGAAAAATGCAAATGAGACTTCACGGTTTTCAAATAATTTCAAGATTTCTACAAGCAAATAGGGGCAAACCCCCAATTTCTTTCGCTATTTGCATGCAAAATGGGTTTCTGTCTTGGAAAACCCCTAATTTCACAGGTTTTCTCCAATTCAGATGCAAAATGAGCTCTGTCTTGCTTCCCATAGAAATTAGGATGCGAACTTCCAAAAAGGCCCCTGCCTGGCCGTTGTTTTCTGTACAGATACATGAGTTTTTGGTGGCGACGCTGTATAAGTCCTCAATTGGCACAAGCATTTTAGTTAAGGGATTTAATTGATGCGATAAAACTTTTAGGGACCAAATCGGCTTTAGTAAAATAGTTTGAGGAATAAATTGGCGATTTTCCCATGGCAAAATATGTCATTCCATTATCAAACGCTTTTCTAGGATAGGAGCGCTAAAAGTTAGCCAGCAAACATGTCAACGACGTCGTCGCTTCAAAACGACGTGGCTTCGTAAGGCCCATTAAAGAACAGGAACCCTTGGCGCGAGGTCAGATGCTGGTTTTATACGGCTGGAAATCACTCAGATTGTTGTCGGCCACTCTCCTGACTGTTCAGTCCACTTCTGATTAAGTCTCCAGCGGCAGCGGTTTGGTTCACCGGGTTAAAGAAATGCTCGCCACCACAATCTCGTCAGCTTTTCCAGTCAATGTTGCGCCGCATTTTGGAAATGAACCATTATCCTCTACTACTCTGCATTGCCGCCGAACCAAGAATCCGATGAGGTTAACAAGAGGAGTCTTTCCAGTTTGTGAATTTCCATCATTTCTTCCCGAGCAAGTTGAAAATATCAAAGATCCATTTGCTAGAAAATTGGCCTCAAGAATTGAAAGACTGCCCGTTCAAGTAAGCCCTGTACTTCCTTCTTCTAGCGTCACTTTCATCTCATCACTAGTTCTTTTTTCCCCCTTAATGGGTCACGACTCACGGGTCACGAGTCTGCTGTTTGATATTCTTGTTCAGTTAAACCAATTTTTAGTTTTGTGAGAAACTGTACTATACGTTGTCATTCCTGGGTCTCTCTCAGCCATAAAAGCCTGCAGTCCAGCTAATCAATGCACCATCCGACGTCGTGTTTAGGTCTTATAGGATCATGCTTGGTTAACTGGAACTCTAGTCTATATTCTTGCTGATTATCTATAAAATAGCCATTCTTTATTAGAGGTATATACTGCAAAATATGCACTAACTTTTATACTAATTCTATGACTAGTGTAAGTGGGTGAAGTTTCAACTGTTTTGTTTTCTTATTTTTTCTGGGCCTTCTCTACTTTTTTTATTGAGTGCTCGTTACTTTCCCGGAAGATGCATATGATTGCATTAACGAATCTTGTATTTATATAAATACTATAACATTTTACATGCGACGTGACCTTAATGATTAGCACTTAGCAGCATTTCCTACAAATATGTATACTTATGTGGATAAAATTGAAGTTACATATCTGAAATGTGTGGAAGTTTTATGTATTTTACGTGCATCAATTATGATGATTACAGAAAGCGTGTTTTGGCTTTGTGTGAAGCGTCTTTTTTCTGATCCCAGGTTAGCTTTTTAGACAGTTGTATCATGACTAGTTGTGTGAAGCCAGAGGGAGATAGCAAGAAAAGTCCAGTGCTTCTTCTTCATGGTTTTGACAGGTCCGCGTCATGCTAAACTCATTATTCTTCTAAAAAATGTACTCTTTGTGATCTTTATTTGGTTTATAGTTTCATATAGCTCTTGTTTAGAATGGAGATACACACTTCCATTGCTTGAGCAGGCAGGTTTGGAAACTTGGGCAATTGATATTCTTGGTTGGGGCTTCTCTGATTTAAGTATGTCCTATCTATCCAATTCTTTTTGATTTTCTACCTTCATTCTGTCTTAATTAAGACTGGCTATCTCTATTCGTAAATTCCTAACCTTTGTGTGCTGTGTTCCTCCCTCATTGCATTTCTAGAATGCCTCCCACCATGTGATGTAGCTTCAAAACGTGATCACCTCCACAAGGTAATGGCTTTCCTGTTCATCAGACCTCTTATCCTTTGCTGATGGATATAGAAAAGAAGAGATTCCAATGACATATTAGTAATACAGTAGTGATGTAAGCGATAAAAGATTCTCAAGTACAAAGTCCAGGTACTGTATGCATTGTCAATCAGAAACTCTACATAATGTTAAGCTGGTTTTTGTTGGAATCCCATGATCGGTAACATGCAGACATGTCTTTGGCTGAGGGGTCTCATATGTCATATTTTCCAATTAGTCTACACATTTTGACCAGTCCTTTACAAATTTCATAGGAGTCAGGTATGTAAATTCAAGAATCTTCACTTGAAACTCTGGATGAAGAAATAGGAATTTTATATTCTGATCTATATCTATTTGCTCAGTGGGTCCAGCTAAGAAGGCAGTTTACTATATCCCCCCTATTAGCCATATTTGAGACTGGGAAGAGTTTTCTTTTTCTATTTCCTGCTAATTTACCTATAGAGAAGTGTTAATTCCGATCATATTTCCAATCATCTGAAAGACAATTTTGCATTTCATGGCGTGTTTTTGCGGAAGTTCTGGAGTTCCTATATCAACAGGCCAATGACAATAGTTGGGCCAAGCCTTGGAGCAGCTGTGGCAATTGATTTTGCTGTCCGCTATCCCGAAGCTGTAAGAACTTTTCAAAATATGCAATATTATGTGCAATTCTTTATTTCTTAAGGCACTGATGTATATCTACACATTTGTATTCATTTGCTTCTCTTTTTCTGCTTACAACTATTGGTCTCATACTCTTCTCAGGTTGACAAACTGATTTTGGTAGATGCCAGTGTTTATGCAGAAGGCACAGGGGACCTTGCAAAGTTACCCAAAACATTAGCATATGCTGGGGTAAGTACCTATCATGTCACTCAAATGAAAAGAAGAAGGGGGAAGGGGATAGTTGGCAGAAAACCAGTTGAAAGGAAACTATGAATTTTTTGCCTGCCAATGATATAACTAGCTATTGCAATTTCTAATTCCAGTTAGGCTTTCATGCCTATATACAATTGAGGGGGACTGTCAATGATTCTACAACAGGCCAATTTTTCTCACTGATATACCATTTTAGGTACTCAATTGATGTGGCATATGTTGTTGCTGAGAAAAAAGAGAGAATTGGAAATTTTCTTGTTTTACAGGTTACAAATATAAATTTAAACAATCATTTTTGGTAAACAAACTTACAGGTGGTGCACGGTGCTCAAATTTTTAGTGTTCTAGAAAATGGCTCTGTATTGCAGCTTCACCTATCATTTGATGATAAATTATTTTTGCATTTGCCTTTAAATTGGCTTTCCTTTCCAAGTTTAAAATTACATTCATCATTCCATTTTTGACATGGAATAAATTGATATTGTTCCCACGTAATGTGGAGTTTCTCGCTTCACCTATGTAAAAGCAATGAATTAATGCTAAGTGAATTGATTCTTTCATTCTTATTTGAAGATGGTTCTTAGCTAATTTTTGAACATTACTTGTGCTGGTTGGATGGCAGTTTTATGCAACCAATTAGTTAAACTATTATCTCGAAAAGCTAATTCTTCATTTTCATTGGTGTTTTCTTTGGGCATCTCATGCTTCATACACCACCAAATTTCAAATTACCTACGTCTTGTCCATATTCCATGCAGGTCTCCTTATTGAAAAGTCTTCCCCTGCGCCTGTATGCGACTTCAAAGGCTTTCAATGGTTTGCCATTAAATACCTTGTTTGATTGGACCAATGTGAGTGCTTTATCTTATAATGTACTTGTGTACTTTTACATGGTAATGTGAGTTTTGAGCCTTCTATGCATGGCATAATAGAATTATTTTCTTTTCTATCTTGAAGGATGTACTATTTTAGAATCTTTCATGTTGCAACAATATAAATGACGACTTTTCTTTATTGACATTTCAGATTGGCCGTTTACATTGTCTATTACCTTGGTGGGAGGAAGCTACAGTTGATTTTATGATCAGTGGAGGTTATAATGTTGTTGCCCATATAGGACATGTATGGTAATCCATGATCACTGACAACTACAACCAGTAATTCAAAGGCGCATTGGTCCCTCAGGATCCTTTACTATTTGAGACGAGCCTTATTTTGATCTTCACTATTCTAGTCCCAGAAAGTGCCAGTTTGGTATATATTGATAATTTGTATAATCATTGAAATTGCCAATGTAAGTTGAATTATCTGAGAATGGATGTTCATGTGAAATATTGGGTAGCATCCGTTAGAATTTGGAGAGATTAGCAAATTTACTCTCTGGAACTAAATTGATAAACTTTATCAGTAGTGAAGTGAAACTGGTTCTTTTGGCTGAATGTTCTCCGAACAGCAGTGCTCAGCCGAGAGTTTCGGGACCAAAGGAATTGGAACATTTAATTCATCTATTATTGATTATATTCATCTTTAATTTGTACAGATACAGGAAAACAAGTTCATGTCAAAGAACTTGATACTATCAATTGACTCATCGCTTTGCAAGACATTGCTATATTACATGTCCCATGTGTTTGATTTCTCCACAACTGTGTATTGACTGATTTTGTTGTCAATTTCTCAATACAGGTAAAACAAAAGACACTCATATTATGGGGTGAGAATGATCAGATTATAGATAGCCAGCTTGCACTGGTAAGTCCCTTTTAAGCTCACAAAAGACACATTATGGGGCGAAAATGATCAGATCATTTTACAAATGCTTAACCCACACACAATCAATATCTATACTCAGTTAGGGCAGTTACAAGATTTTGACTTTTAATCAGCATTTACTACATTTTTCGCTCGTATAATGCAGAGACTACATTCTGAACTGCCAAATGCAATTATACGGCAAATACAAGATTGTGGCCATATACCCCATGTGGAGAAGCCTGCTGCAGTCAGCGAGCTGATAACAGAATTTGTTTGAACTTCGTGCAATCTGGGAGATAACTGTATCTTCATATGTGAGAAATTGTCCGACTGCTTTTGAGGCAATGTTGAGGTATGGTCATTAGCTGCAACTATACCCTCTCTTTGTGCCTTGCAGATATTGGCGCAGTTTGTATTCCATCTTCACCATGCTTTTTTTGTCATATGCTTTACTGAGAGGGGAGTTTCTTGGCTGATTTGGCACGCTGATGCAGGGAACCAGGCAATTCCGCGAATATCTTCTCAGCGTTCTTCTAGCATTGCAAGGAAAGGACTTCATTTGATTGCCAAGAAATGTAGCCTGAGTCTCTTCCGAAAGTGATTTGTTGCTTACCGCCAGGACTCGTGTCAGGCATCATGCATCAAGAACGCAGAAACCACTCGAATCTGATTCACCAACCCCTTGGTTCGACCCATGTTCTTCACTTTCTGAAGTGTGACACGCTTATTTATTTTTCTTCTTTGTTGTTTCCGATACCTTGCCATGATTATATGACGGATCAAGATTTAGACGACCACGAAATGAAAATGCATATTATTTAATCACTTCCGGTGCCGAACCAAGGTCACGATCAATTCATTTTGAAGATGATAAACGAGAGCGATGAGGAAAACAAACGAAAAAGGATAAAAAGTACACACACGTTGGGTTTTTCCTTCCGAAATAAAGATATATAACGTAGCTGGGGTAGCAACTTCTTACTACAATAAAAAAAATACTGGCCCTCTCTAGATATACAAAAAGTCTAAGGAGATCGGACTCTACACTCTACCACCCCAGGAGAAGCCACATCTCCATTCTCCCCACCTACTACCCCAAGGGAATCAAATTCCCAACTTTATCACTTAAACAAGGGGAATAAAACAAAAGAAGTCCTAGTGAGAGTTTCCTACATGATTCCCACAACAGCTCCACAGTACAATCACATAGCCAAAAGTCCAATCCAACATTCTCTGGTAGCAAAACATCATCCACATATTCAACCCCCACTAAACTTGAAAACCTCTCATCCTCAGACTCTGATCAGAGTCTTGGACATATCAAGCCAATAAGCACAAGAGTTGCAGCCAAAGATGTGAACAAGTTTTGCTGAAGAGCTACACCCATGCTGTCTGTGTTGCCGATGCCACTTCCGGAGGGTCCAAGGCCAAAACCTGGTGCAGAAGTAGTACCTGGTGCAGAAGTAGAAGTAGTAGTAGTTGTGGGTGAAGAAGTTGGATTTGTGCCTGTAGGAGATGTAGATGGGTTGGTTGATGGGCTCGTGCCAGCATTGCTGCAAAACGAAACAAATAAATATCAACCTCAAATCAAAGTGAAAAGTAATAATATGAGAACAAAAGAGTAGTAATGAGCAACCTCGTTTTTAAATGAATATCAGTGATGTTATCCTACCCCAAAGAAGGATAGGAAAGGCAAAGGTTACCCAACTATATTTAAAAAAAAAAAAAAAAAAAAGTTTATCATGTCAACCTGAGATGTAAATATACAAGACAAACGAAAGTTTGAGAAGTTAACATCATGACAGCTCGCACGCATATAATTGTCAGGGGGGCATCATAGCAGTGAGGACTAGTGAGGTGTACCATCACTACTAATGGTATAGTATTTCCCAACGGAAACCTTGCTGGATCTAACATCCTAAGAATTAGATACTCCATCAGAAATCTCACCATCGGTCCAAAAAAGTTAGCACTCTAGATCATAAATGGTCATGTGGCACCAATAAGTAAATGTGTTCCGCAAGATTCTTCTTCTTTTTTTTTTTTTTTCTCCAGCAGAGTAGTTCTGATCCTAATCCTTCTGGCTGCTTCTTCAAACCCCAAATTCAGTGAACATTTTTTTGTCAAACCCTTAATTCTTTTTCCCCTCTCATATAGCAAAAAAACCAAAGAAAAAAGGGCTAAGTATTTAGCGCATAACTGATAACTGAGGCTTTTAGCTGATCAACATGTAGAGGTTATAGTACAACACTGAAACGAAAAACAGAAATGAGAAAGCATGTTACATAAAGCATAAGAAAGGGCAAGATCTAAACAGACCTGGGGCTAGATGGAAAAACGCATCCGGAAGAAGTAGCTGCAAATTTTCAAGGAGAAAAGACACAAAAGAACAAAACTTTAATATTATTCTGGCCAATAAAGGAAGGGTTTTTTTTTTTTATTTTAACTTTTTTTTTTAGTAGTTCTGGGCTTCTCCAGGGACTTACTTGGAGGTGTTTGAGTCACAGCTGCAGTGTTTGAAAAACTACAGCTCCCATCCGCTTGGCCTTTCCTCTGATAATAGCTGTTTACAGCATAGTTACAGTGATCTCTTACAGTGTTGGGGTTGAAACAGGCACCATTTTGAAGGATTGGAGCACAATCAGCTCCTGCTCCACAGGCATAGTCTATGTTCTTCTGAAGCTGTGCATCACCCACCCCAGTATTGCAGACGCAGTAATTAGCAGCTACAGAAGGGGGGGGGGGGGAAAAGGGGGCCATCAGCAATACATCAAAGAGATCCAGCTCAATAATCAGCTCAAAACAAACTTTTCAATCAAGAAAACCTTCAACTAAAGCTCTAGCATACAATATATATTTATCAAAGAAAAGGGTCAGAAGGAGCTTACCTGAATGACCAGTCATGGTCAAGAAAAGCACTAAACAAGCAATAAAAACAGCCATGAAGGTGAAGCAAATTATTGAAGGGCTCCAATATTAACTCTGAGTTTATTCGGTTTGGCGGTACAGAAAAGGTGGCAGCAAAACCAGTCTAAAGAGAACGGGGGAGATGAGAGAAGGGAAAAGAGGCGGTGGAATTGGGAAATGGAGATTTCTAGACCACAAAGATGAGGGTGACGGTGGGTAGGAATGGCCAACGTCTATATCAGTCGGCTTTTATACGTAGGAAATGATGTAGTGGTACTATACAACTATTAAGAAGGGAGGGATTAGTCTAATAAAATGGAGCTAAGGGAAAAGTAAGTGCTTTTGGGAAATCGAGCAAGCTGGTTTTTTTTGTCACTTATTGACTGTATCTGTATCGTAGTAACCATGTACATGTGTGGCTTTTCAAACGGTCATAAACTCTTGTGCTGGATTATTAGAACTAACCTAACCCAACTTGGTTTAGCTTTGCTTGGACATTTCTTCTAAAGAAGCAAACCCCAACCCCCATCTCCTCATTCTGGTTCATGTGCCCCATCGCACCGGCCAACCTTACAGGGAGAGAAGAATTTAAAGAGTAGAATGGAAGAAATCTGAAAGCATAGCCTAACGGAACTTTATTATCTTTTGTATGGATTAATTTATTTTTCTATAGTGACAGTAGTGTATACGCTATTAATGTTGGATGAATGACAATTATATAAAATTTAAATTTGAAATTCAATTTTTACACGCATGTCATGAATCAAACAGTAATAGTGTATATACTGTCAGTGTCAGTATATATAAGATTTGCTCTTTTTGTATTCCCTCGAGAAATCAGAAAGAAGATGATGCTAATGAAAACTACGTGGATTTAGGAAGAAGAACCATTTTACGAGTTAATTAGATAACGCGGAATTCCGCATTATGAAGTGATTTTGACACTATGGTGAAAGTGTCTTTTATTATTGGTTTCAAAGTAAACAGCTACCAGATGTAGCGGAGGAAAGTAACTTTAATGTAGATTTGGGAGTTGTATTATGTATTAAATTAGTAGAGATAAAGAGATGTATTGACTCCCTTCCGACATTCTAAATGCAAGTTTGTACAAAGCCTACCTTCACAAACAAATCATCATCACCTGATGCTCACTGCCCAGAAGTTCAAAATGGAAAAGGAAAGCTAGTCCTTTAACTTGCCAAGTATTTCTCTATTTCCTTTTTTTTTTTTTTTTTTTTTTTTTAAGGAGAATACATGATAAATGTTGCGTTGTGTTGGTAAGAGATGGGGCCCACACTCACTTGACTCTCTTTTTGATTTTGCCACTAAAATTCTTCTGGCTTCTGTTCCGCTGTCCTTGTAAGAGTTAGCACATATGATACAGCTATGCATTCTTATTCTTGTGCCTGTCAACGTTACATGATTGACCCAACTCTTGGACTTTAACTTGCAATAAAATTGCATTCTTTCTTCTTTTTTTTTTTTTTCTTTTTTACAAGTGAAAAGAATCTCCCCCCTTTTGCGACAAACTATTTGGATGGAAGATTATTATTTAAAATAATTATTATAATATTTTTTGAAATGTGATTTATACGAAATAAAAGGATAATTGAAAATAAAAAAAATTGATTGAAAATTATACTGAAAATACCCTCATTATTCTTATCACCTCAAGACACTTGCATTAGCAAAGCCAACATAATCATTTAACCCAGAAGATTAGCGACCCATCATCACAAAGTAGTGCAAGAGCTGAAACCATAAACACATTTTTCAATTATTTTTTTTATTTTCCTAACAATCTTTTTTATTTCAAATACATTAAATCACAAAAATACTAAAGTAATCATTTTAATTTTAAATAACTTTCTTTCCAAGCACACCCACTAACGTGTACACTAACACCTAAATCAAAGAGTGAGTTCCAAAAGTACTATACTTGCTAAAGGTAATGGAAAATTTTTTGGTGCCTTTAAGTAATCATTCCTTCTGATGTGTATCTCGAAAGTAAAATGGATGATATGTTCCAATAGCAAGTGAACACTACTGATTTCTCTTTTTATTTATTTATTTATGGTAGAACTAGAATTTTGAATGAATTCGGTTCCAATTACTACTGCAAATCCAAGCATGCCTCCGAGACCTAAGGTAGGGTAAATGGCTCGAAGCCATAAATAGCTTACGAAAGGCATTACAAATCGTCCATCAATACAATGCTTAGGTTTCTAACATTAACAATTCGTCCTTATAATCAGACTAGTACCATTAATACTTGCAATAATATGTTCTGCGACCAAATTTAGTACAAGTTTGTGTGGAGTAGTTAACAAAAATTCGTCTCGCACCAGTACCTCAAAGCGTTCAAGGACAGGAGTAAACCAGCTGGAGAAAGGACGGAAAGTGATGCCATCATCATAATGAAAGAGATTCTGATTCTCCCTTAGTCCTTCGTGGTATTTGACGGCCCTTCTTATTTCTTGATGTCATCTACGCCTTTTGCTGCATCATTTTATTTTTCTTTCTGGATCAATGGATGCCACTGTATCTATATATATATATGTATATATACAGTAACATACACATGATGAATGATGAGTCACGTAGCTCCCTCATCTTAATCTTGACATGGGCGTACTATCTACCCTTTTCTTTCTTTTCTTTTTCTGGATTACAAACAAAAACTATAACAAAGAGCAAGAAAGTGAGTAGTAACTAGAAACTAAATTGGCTGAGAAGTTACTTTACAGTTCTTCACAGCAGTTGAGTTAAAAAAACATCGTCAGCTTAAGCTCATGTAAGTATTTTCCAGAAGGGCAGCCGAGCCGTTGTTCTGTTTCTTTCTTCGGCTGCTCTGCTCTGAAATCTTATCCAACAGGGCCAAAGCCGTTCTCATATGGAAGAGCACCAATTATTCTACAAGATTCTAGACGGACAGTTCAGCATTTCGGCTTTACCCTTTTGCCTTAACGTGCCAATAAAAGCATTAACCCGTCGTGTATCAGTACATTAAATTCTCAGTCTCCAGTGTTTGTTTGGGCCTACAAATTACTTCCGCTAACTCTTTGAATGGAGGATGTTCATGCCACAAATTAAAATGCCTTATTAGTACTGTTTTATTTTATGCGGCTATGTCTGTGTATATATATACTACTCCCACAAAGGAACAAAAAAGAAATCACTACATGTATGTAGAGTTACAAAAGGGTTTGACATTTTGTGCTTTTTTTGTCCCTTTAAATTTCATAAAGTAGATTAGATCATCTCCTCTTTCTTTCTTTTTTTTTTTCGGATTTTTGATAATAAAGAGGAATATTATTGTTAAACTAGATGAAACTCGTTCGTTCAACGCCTGTGTGTTTGGATTGTTAGTTATTTGTCCAAATATATTTGCTTACATCACTATTACAATTTTCAATACACCTTTTTATCTTCCCAATTACTTTTTTATCTCACATATATCACACCACAAAAAGTGCTACAGTAAAAATATTTCAAATAACTTACAATCCAAACACACTCTGATTAAAGATCATCATCGCTCACCACTAAGAAACTGCAAGCGAATTTATTTGCAAAGAGAAATTGTACGTGTAATAAAACAGTTTCCTCAGAAGTTTTGTTTCTTTTGCTTCGAATCTGCATTAGATGCTCCTAAGAAATTGCTAGTAGTAAAAATTAATCTGGGAAAAAAAAAAAAAAAAAAAACTCTAAACCCAATAATATGAAACTCAGCTAGAATGTTCAAAGTTGGTGTATGATTGCTCTCGCGTCCTCCCACCTTTTGTACGAGTGCATGGATACCTTCTCAATCTCTTAGATGCCAATACTTTTTGAACAACTAAAAAGAAGTAACAACAACAACTACTACCATTACTACCACACATTTACACAACCTTAAAAAGAGAATATTGGGGTTCAGAAATATATGCTGCTAGGGAAAAGCTTCTTGTTTTCTGAACTTGTTTCGGATCCTATTCCCTAAGCATATCCAAGAGGTAAAAGAAAGGGTCCTACAAAAATAAAAGAGACAGTTTACAAGAAATGCACAGCCCATTATAGCCTAATCATGATCAGATTTACTACTTATTTTCATTGATTTCTTCATACCACAAATCAAATTAAGAAAGGCTAATACCTGAATGGGCCCAGAATTTGTCGGTTTTCGGGTCCCACTAGCATGCTCCCTTCCATAACTCACAGTTTTTTGTATGAGTGTTTCGATAAATGGATCCCACTAGCATGCTTACTGTCTCCCGCCAATGTACCAATCCATTTGTTTGGAATTCGACAGGAATTTATGATATATGTGAAATAAAAAAAATAATTAAAAAATAAAAAATGTGTGGATCAAACAATGTGTTTATTACACGACTAAAAAGTGTAATCAGCAAATCTACCATTTTGTTTAATATAAAATGGTGGAAAAGTGCAAGTGAGATGACACTACTGATAGCATAAAAAGAATGAATAATGGTCATTTTTGCAACAGAAGAGCGGGCACCCCATTTCAATTTTGGAGTGCCTTTTGATTTATTGATGATGATGATGCCTTTCTTATGGACTGCAAATCTTAGTAGGAGTATTTATTAGCGCCTTTACCACTTTACAGCAAAAGAAAATTATGTAACTTCTCATTTTCTCCTTGACAAAGTGACCTTGTAGATCATTGATTCTCTCTTTTTTTTTTTCTTCCTTTTTTTTAATCGCAAATTCTGGCAATTTGGAGAAACGTAATATTTTGCTCGGAGCAATGTGTTTGGACAGCAATTCTTTTTTTTTTTTTTGAAATATTATTTTGCTTGCATCACAATTATAATTTCTGATCAACTCTTTATCTTTTTCAATAATCTTTTATTTCACATACATCATAGCACAAAAATGTGCTATAGTAATTATTTCAAATATCCACACACATGTAAGTCTTGACTTACAATCAATCTTGAGATTTATTATTAAACTCAGCTATTATTTGAAATGTTGGAACTCATATATAAGTATTGCCTAATTAATCTTGTCCTCGTCTTTCAAAAAAAAAAAAAAGATTTAACTATAACCATTCGTATTTTCTTCTTCTTTAGCCATCATCTAGGAATTATTGAAAAAGTTGTTGGGTTTTTTCTTTTCACCAAAGGCCGCTCAAGACAAAATCCCATCCTGGGCTTGCTTCAGAAGTGGAAGGCCTAATGGTAATGGTCTGGGTCGACAATTGCCAGAAAACTCGTAATCTAAATCCTACG